AAGCAAAAATTGTAGCAGGGCAGGTAATCGGCTTCATCCCACAAACTGACACTTCTGCTAAGAGTATCTTCTTTAGCCAAGTCAAAAAGAACCGCTTTTCCGCATGCTGCTTCGACGAGAAGCCAGTTGTCGCCAATGATCTGCAGGGTTACAATTTCCTGCAAACCAGAGGGAACTATTTGTTCAATCTTTGCATCGCATTTCGGTGTACCATCTTCTTCACTGCTAGATATACTAATATTCCAAAAGACAATATCACCAGTTTTAGTTGCAGTACAGAGTGCATACTCGGCACAATCATTGCGAAGGAGATTGGCCGAATCAAAGCAGAAGCAAGTGATAGACAGAGAATTAAGCCGTTGACAGTGCTCAGAAAAACTAATTTTTTCCTGTTCCAAACTGTTCCACTTGTTTTCGGTGTAGTAGGTGTTGAGGTGTTGCGATAAGTTGCAAATACACTTCCATGGTTGAGAGTTATACTGCAGGTAAAGCTGAAAGACGTAGTCGGCAGTGATTGCACCAAGCACATTGTAACTCCTGAATGGACTTGATGGGGAGAAGTCAAAGTAAATAAACTCTGAGCGTGCCATCCTTGGATTCGGTTTCATATAGCCTTGCCGGTAGCTTTGCTCGGTATTTTCTAAATGGCCCACGTTAAACTGAAAATCGTGTTCAGGATAAATTGTGACGACAGAGAACTTTAGGTTATCTTCGCACCATTGCCTGCGATTAATGGTGCTCTCGTTGATAGCATAGTGGATGTTAAATTGAAATATCAGCAGCCTATCGCAGACATTTAAGCCGACTAGTTGATTTGACTTTGACCATTTCAAGCAGTTCCAACTTGGCAGATTAGTGGAATAGGAAAATCGCTGAAAAACCTGCAGTGGTTTCAAGCTGGCAGACTTGGTGTCGACTTCCATCTTCATTCTGCAACTACAAATTCAAAGTTAGCAACGGCAAAGTCAAATTGGGCAAAACTTACTCGGAAAGTTCACGACTGGAACCAGTGCTGAATCATCTGTTGTCAGGCGATTGTTTACAACGTTCATATGATGGGGCAATGCTCGGCGCAGTTACGAGATGACGCCACAATGACCACAATTGACCTGGTGGCCGAAAGCTGCGGTCCAGGGCACTGAGGAGGGTGAGCAGTGCAGGACAGCATGTGCCGGGGGAAAGTGCCTGTTTTGCCCTCCGGCCAGTTCCCAATGCGACTGCAGTGATTGCAGCACTGTCCATGTGCAGTGAACAGGCACAGAATACACAAACACAGTGTCACACGCGGTGTCTGACCACGCGGTTTTAGGAGGTCTACTTCCGTTGGAGGGAAAATTTAACCCTGACACCGACTGCACCATCGGTCATTGGGATGCCTCAAAAGCCCATCAGAAGCAGTCTGGCACTTCTGGCAGGTCTCAGTTTTGAGTTTACCAATGCATTTCCCAACAAGCTCTCCCACAGGCGGCAGTGCGCCAAAAAGGTCGCTGTATCTCCGAAACCGGACCTGGCAGAACATGGGTTCTATAGCGAATTTGACTCAGTACGTCCTGCAACGCTCTCTTATCAGCGCATAGTGCAGATAATAAAATCCGCATCTTTTTTGCATCATCCCAGCGCCTCTTCACAAAGCATGTTGCCCTGATCACTTCTGCAACAAAATATCCAGGTGAAGAAGCAGTCCCAAACAGTAGCTCCTCCTCGAGCTTCTCCGTAGTTTTGGTCGCTGCCGCTGAAGCGCTGGCAGTGACATTGCCACACCGAATTAGTCTGTAGGATATACAAATCGACGGGGGCAGACAGACGAGGAGAGCAGTCCCCCGGGCACTGCAGCCGCCGCTTCAGCGCTCACTGTAACGTCCACTGAACAGTGACCTCCAGAGGGCCGCTCTCCCCACTTGTGACCGCCCATTTTGCAGGCTTTAAAAACAACCAGCGTTTGCCGGCCGACACCAGGTGCAACGTGCTCGCCTGGCTGTGCTCCTCACCCTGGAAGAGGAGCACAGGCGAGGGGCAACGTTGTGGAGCTCACTCGCCGGGGAATAGACGGAGGGAGGCCACCTACCAGGCAAAAATCGCTATACCGCTTACACGCTCTACCCCAGGACACATTGCCACACTCACACAGTGTGCTTGCTTGCCTTCTCGTACTGACTTCCGCCTGCTCGCCTGCTCAGTGCGTAACCGTGTGTCCATTCACTTTGGTCTGGTTACCATCGTCCGTCGGATCGTCCAGTGCTCCTTCTCGCCATATTGTCCAACGATGTCTTCCACCAAATGGGCTTCCAAGAACGGCGCACCAGCTCCTTCCCTGTCTCCAGCACCTGTGGCTACGACGACTACGACTGGCAGTCTGAGCAGCAATGATTGGCCCTCCTTGAGCGAAGTGAATGAAGTCTCGGTCTCCAATGGCTCGGTCGACGACGAGGACGCCTCCTCCAAGGAGAACTGTGACACCGCCACTGCACCCAACAGCGCAAACAACGCTCAACTCCCCTCAGATGGGAACTTGAAGAACAAAAAGAAAGGTACGTGCTCTTCCTCCAAGTATAAACAACCCGCCTCGAACTCTTAACCATTTGTGATAGATGATGAAAACAGGAATTACCGACTGTACTAATTTTGATGATAACTCTCCATGGGTGCTTTTATGCTTTCTGATCTCACTCACAATACCGTTTCACTGCCAGAGTCATAAACTCATCCTTTGCTTAGGCTGTATACGTGTTGACTAATACACATTTTGTTTTGTTTCGCACCTGGTGAAGGAGGCAAAAAATGGGTGCCTTTAGAAATCGGACCTCCGCCAAACAGCAGCAGCAGCAAGTTGAGAGGCAAAACTGTCAACCGCAGCAACAGCGAGTACTACGTCACCAACGAGCTGCTAAATGGCAGTGGCACCAACGGATATGGCGAAGAGACCTACAAGTCCTCCAAGTACGGATCAACATCAGTACCACGGCCTCAACGCTCTACTCGCCCGAAGAGGATAGTTGGTCCTGGTGGTGAAACGCTGGAGCGCTACGCTAAGGTTCCATTAGCCTATCCTGAGCCTACTTCGACTGTTAGCCACGCTGCTGTGAAGACAGGAGTCCCGACGACGCTCTCAGTGGCCACTTCAACTGTTGCTCATGACACTGCTGACCTGGCGGGCAAAAAGGCCGTTCCAGCAGCCATCTCTCCCGTCTCCCCAACTGGCTCTCAAGCAGCGGCAGCAATGGGAACTGCCGCCGTCCCTGCAGTCCCCTACATCCGCCGCAACACTGGACCTCGCGGGGGCCGAGGAGGAGGAGGTAGTGGAGGCGGAGGCAGTGGTCGTGGAATACTGTCGACGCGCTCGCTGAACCGCAGCCGCTCCACCACCGGAGTGGACGCCTTTGCACCTGTGACCTTGGTGAACGCCGGCACGACGCTGCCAGCAGCAGTGAGCAGTGCCGCCGCAGCTGTTACATCGCCCATCAGCACCATTCAATGTGAGGAGTTTGCTTTTAACTTTGGTTATTTTTACTATGGGACTTATTCTGCAGCTGGAGCAGATGCTTTGACGATCGCCGCTACCGCTACCACCGCTTCAAATGTCGCCACGCAGACGTTTATGCAGCCGCCGTACTACTACAGTGTGCCACAGTACGACGCGGAGAGGCTGAAGGAGATGCTGCGCACGCAGATTGAGTACTACTTCAGCGAGGAGAACCTTCAGCGGGACTTTTTCCTCAGGAGGAAAATGGACGAAGGCGGCTTTCTGCCCATCTCACTCATCGCCTCCTTCCACCGGGTGCAGGCGCTCACCCAGGACGTGTCGCTGGTCGTCGAGGCACTCAGCAACTCCACCACTGTGGAAATCGTCGATGGAGTCAAACTGCGAACACGTCACGATCCCGACAAGTGGCCACTTGTAAGTTGTGCAGTTAGAGGCCATCTGTGTGTTTCAGGTGCACAGGTGTTCCCACAACCAGCAACCAGTAGTTGTAACCGCCAATTTTTTCCCCATGTTTTTTCAGTTGGACAATCTAAGTGCGGTCAATGCAATAAACCCACCCGTGTCGCCTAGCAATTTTCAGCTAGCAGCCGAAGAGTCAAGAAATGACAAGGCAACGTCACCCGCAACCGAAGATCGCTCTACTTCTCCCCTTACCGACGAGAACATTGCTTCTGATGCCTCCACAAGTGCAAATACCCCTGTAAATAAGGCCACCGCTACCTCTGATGACGCTAGCGGTGACACTGAACTTGCTCAAGCCCCTCAGCCATCCACCACCACCAGCAGCAGCCCACAGCAGTCGGCGGCTGAACCAACAAATTCAACTGTGAAAGATAATTCAAAAAACGATAGCACCTCTGCTGCAGTGAAGGGAGCTCCTGCAGCAGTGGAGAACACCAAGTCAGTGGTCAGCACGGCCACCACCACCACCTCAACCGCCACCTCTAAGACTGTCTCTCAAAGTACTTCTTCCTCCTCCGCCGCCCCTTCTGAGAAGAGTACTTCAAGCAATTCTTGTGATACCAATGCGAATAGCGGTTCGTTTTAGTTTTAGTGGCATGTTTTATTTATTACTTTATATATTTACTAAAGTTTTACCATCCCCGCCCCCTCTATTCTAATTGAAATAGTGAATAGCCAAAAGCAAACCGGTAGCGACGGCTCGACGGCTGTCAACACTACCGACGAGTTGCCAAAAGAGGATGCCAGTTCTGCTGCTGCTGGCAAAACCTTTGCCAGTGTGCTCGGCGAAACAACGCCGACTACTCCTTCTTCTCCTACTCCTCCTCTTTCAGCAGTGGCAGAGAACTGGCAGCCGGTGCGCAACAAAAAGAGCAAACAGCAGCAGGGGGGCAGCCGTGCCAAGAGTTTAGACACCAAAGCGGGGGCAACGCCGCCTTCCACCACCGTCACCACCTCCTCCCCCTCCTCCTCTTCCTCCTCCTCTGGCCAGTCGAAGTTGTCCACCATTGCAGCCTCTCCCTCCGTCGTTTCCACCAAAGAGGAGCTGCCCTTTCTCATGGACGAGGAGCTCACCGATCAGCAGTTGGTGGGTCGGAAGAAGGCCTTCACCGACCACGACGACTTTGACGGCAGTGAATTTGCCGATGACTACGAAATCAGCGACCATGATTTGAGCAAAATTATCATCGTCATGCAGACGCCGCGCAAGGGCGTCGAGCCTGTCAACGATCGCACCGGCGACTGGACGACGCGCGTCAAAGTGACTCAGGAGATGTCGCAGATCATCAACGACGGCCTCTTCTACTACGAACAGGATCTGTGGACGCGTTTTGGCGACTCGGGGACGAAGCAGCACAAGACGCTGGGCCTCATTTCGCAGGAGGACTTTGAGATCTACTCGGGATCGCCCAAGAAGGATGCCCCTGCGACGCCACCGCCACCACCACCACCAACCTATGTGGAGGAGGAGATTGAACTGGACGAAACGTACTTATCAGGTTAGTGTGACTGAAATCGTAAAGGGTAAAGATTCAAAGTACTAACGCTTATGTTCACTTCCAACGTTCCCAGGTTCGCCGCACGCCTCGGCAATTCCGCTCGAAACGCCTCGGAAGACGGCGCAATCGAAGACGCCCATGCGGCGATCACCTCAGACCAACCCTCGCTTCTACCCGGCCCCCGAGCCGAACCACGCTCCTCCGGCGGGCACTCCGAGAAAGCAGAAGACCAGGCATTCGTCGAACCCGCCCATTGAGCCGCACATTGGCTGGCTGATGGACTCTCGAGAGCATGCCATTTCCACCGAATCGTCGTCGTTCACTGATCGTCAAACGCTCGCCCCTCAATCCTCGTCAATCTCGACTAGTCTCGGTTCCACTCCTCAATCACTGCCAAAGTTCGAGCACCCATCGCACTCTCTTCTAAAGGACAATGGCTTCACTCAGTTCGTCTACAGCAAGTACCGATTGAGGTGTCTAAAGGAACGCAGACGTCTTGGTATGTGTGCACTCTGGAAAGAGTCGTTCTAATGAAAGCCCTAACTAACTAAATGTGTAACTCTTCAATTTGCAGGCATTGGACAAAGTCAGGAGATGGTTACCCTGTTCCGATTTTGGTCGTTTTTTCTTCGTGATCACTTTAACCGTAAAATGTACGATGAGTTTCGTCGTTTTGCAAATGAAGACGCTTCGCATGGTTTCCGATATGGCCTTGAGTGTCTCTTTAGATTTTACTCGTACGGTCTGGAGAAGCATTTTCGCCTGAATCTGTTCAAGGACTTTCAGGAAGAAGTGATACGGGACACTGATAATGGTAAGTTTGCTTTCTCTGGTATGCAACACACACACCCCCATTTTGCTTTCTTTTGTGGCTCGTGATTGTCTCTGATCACGTGCTGCGAAAGCTGAATGGTAAAGTATGAAGCCTATTTAAATTCAATCTTTGACTGTCATCTTGTATCAATGGTTGGCCGCAATTCGCTTATATTATTCTTTCACACATTTTTAGGTCAACTTTATGGGCTGGAAAAGTTTTGGGCATTCCGCAAGTACTACAAAAACTGGTCAAATATACAGCAACACGTGGATGCTGATCTTTTAGCTAAAATCAACAAGTACAGAACAGTAGATGATTTCAGACTAGATGTAAGTGGTTTTACCCCTGATTCAGCGAAAGCTTTATCGTTAATGCCTCTTGTTTTGTTCAATTTTTTTACTCCAGTACTCGGCAGACAACTCAAACCGCAACTGAACTTCTCTTAAACTGTGACCCGACCTCTCAACTGGCAAACAACAAAAAATGATCCTCCATCTTTCAGCTTTCAGCACCAACCTCTCTCTCTCTCTTTCTCCCGTTCTCTTTCCGAGCCATCATCAGTGGAATCATCATCAGAGTTATTTGGCTGCAAGACTGCAAAGACCCCTCAAATCACCACGTCTCCAGACTGAACCACACTTTGCGCCATTAACCCGACTATGCTTCTGCGACACACACACTCCTCCTCTTCAGTCCCACCACCCCACAGTCGTCCCCTGTTCAGTGGTATACCTGTTTGTATGCCACTTGCAAACTCGAAATGCATGTGATGCTCGCTCTAATCGTTTCTCTCTCTCTCCCCACTTTCACCCGCAGTAGGGTTTGTACATTATGCCCTGCTGTGCCTCAACTGTTTTTTCGATTTTATCTTTATCTTTCACAATTTATTCTCCTGTATAGAACAGTTTTTTCTTCTCTTCTTCCTTTTCCTCCTCACTCGTATCAATCGTTTATAAACTGCAATCGTTACCTTCACCTGTACACTTTTTTTATATTTCAACAATTCTTGTAACACACACAGACACACTGTCAACTTTGTTGCACGTTGCGCTTTTTGATACATCTTTTAACTCTTTTCTCTATCTCTCTCTCTCTCCCTTATCCTCTGCTGTATTGTGTTTGGCACACCGGGGGATGGAGTGGTTTGTGTGCATGGTGTGTATGTGTGTGTGTGTGTGTGAATGTGTATGTGTGCTGCCCATGTCCTCGAAGCTAACTTTATCAGCCCCTCCCCCGCTCAGGAAGACCCCGCTCTAAGCAACAGTCCTTCCTCACTTTCAATCACGCCCTCTCCGTTTCTCTCTCTTTCTCACTCTCTTTCCGTTACCGCGCTTCTTTTCCTGTTGTACACCTTCACATCGTACCCAATTGCCTTCAATTGTATTGCTGCAATCAATACTGATGTAGTGATGTATCTTTATTTCTTTACTTATCGTTTTTTCTCTTATACTAAAACTGTTCGATTATATGCTTTTTTAATATTTTTTGTATAGAAATGCCCTATATACTATTGATCTTTTACTGCAATTAAAGCAATTATTTTCTTGTTCAGCTGTGTTCTCCTGAAGCTCAGTGTTCTTTGCTCTACCTGCTTTCTGCGAACTATTGAGGCTCTGGGGTTTGTTGTTAATTGATTTGAACTGCTGTTAAGAGGGTGACTGTGTGTGTGGTTTGCCTTTCACTTGCGTCACTTGTTTACAACATGGAATACCAGTGAACAGGTGCCTGTTCTGCATATCGCAATCGTAGTTAAGCGTTTGACCTTCTATGACCTTCCAATCTCGGCAGTAAATCAGCGCTGCTGCCAACAACTCCAGTACAGTCATACTTCACCAGTGAATGAATTCGTAGTTTGATTTTGAACTTTTTACTTTTTGAGTAGTTAGATACATTTTTAATCACATATGGTGCACACTTGTTTCTAAAACGAACTAAACACTTGATTCTATTTTGCATGAATGGACCCTCAATGTTCAAAACATCTGTCGCCGTTTGCACACTGGTCTTCTTCTTCTTCTTTCTCCTCTGCCGCTTCAATACCAGTTTGCTGTTTCTTGGAAAGAACTGAACAATTCACCCTCACCAACATGTATAAAAGTACTGCTGCAGTTCAAAGTCAAGTCGACATCGTCGTCAAACTGCAGACTGCTCTTCAGTACATACACACAGTAATCATAACTGAATCCCTTTCTTCCCAGGCCTAACACAGTTGACACAAGATGACTAAACTACTGCTGAGCTCGCTTTTTCTGGTGGTGGTGATGAGCCTTTTGGTAGTTGAAAGCCACGGCGCCTGCACGTGCAATGTGCGCAGCAATGGCGAGTACTGCGGCACTGAGCTGAACCGCATCAACGGCAACCAGGACTGCGCCCGAGACCAGTACCTCTGCGGCAATTCCAATCGAAACAAGGCGGCCGTAGTCGTGAAGAAGTGCCGAGCTGGTTTCGAGTGCGATGTCAGCAGAAACGGCTACGGCAACTCCTGTCTCATGGACATTGACTGTCACTGTCCGAGCAGTCTCAGCGCCAATGGCCGAAACCGATACTGCGGAAATCGCTTGACAGGGCGAGACTGTAGCGCAAATGTGGTACGTTTTACTGTTACATTGCCAGATTCAGCAGTGAAAACTCACAGGCAAACTCTTAACTTCTTCTTCTTTTCCTTCAGGTGTTTACTTGCGGCGCCAGTTATCCTAATCCAGTGGACGCCTGTCCTAATGGCTGCAGAGATGGTCGGTGCGTTTGAGCAAAAAGAAAAGTACATTCCTTCACTTTCACTCAATAACAACTGTTGCATTGTAATTTTATCTTGTTGTTTTTTCATCACCAAACTTGTAATGTCTCTTTTGAAAAGCACAACCAAACTGGAAGTAAAACTTAGTAATATTAATTAAATCATCAATTCACTGGATAATCATAGTGAACTGGCATGGCCACCAAATCGCATTCTCAAAGCCCTCTGTCTCTGATGCATGTCCAATTTCTATTTAGGTGGAAATACTTGTTTACCATTTTAAAAATACTCCTTCCTTTAAAGTGGTATAATTAACTATAAATGGCTGACATTAATTAATGAAGGTCATCTGTGGTGGTGGTGACAGTGTCTTTTCGCCTGCTGCACTCAGATGTACCTTGTGTGTGTGGTTGTGGTGTTCATGTTTGATCGATAGTTCTGTCATTCAATGAGCTGATGTGCATTGAAGCACATCAGCTCTTGCCACTTTCACCACTCTTGTTCACTCATCATTATCACACCCTAACTTTTCTTCTTCTTCCTCATTTCAACCCTTTTTATTATTCTTCCCTTTCTTTGCTCATCAGCCTGTCGCTAATCGATTGCACCACTGGCTAAACTTGATGATAATTTCTGGTCATTCGTAGAAGAGACGTCGTTGTGGCTACTGAAAACACTTTCACTAGCACTTTAGCAACATTTTAACTGGAAACAAATCTTTTGTTTATCAAATCTTTTTCAATGGCCAATTTCTTCGTAACAGTTCTGGTGCTGTTCATCGTGGCATTCCTGCACTGCGTTCATTTTGGAGAGGCCAAGTGCCTGTGCAGTGTCACCAAGAATGGCGAGTACTGTGGAGTTGAGCTGAATGAGCTCAACAGTGAAAATGAATGCCCAAAGAAGATCTTCTTTTGCGGAGACTCAAATCGTGATCAGGAGGCTATAATGCTAGTTGGTAAGTGACCCAATAAAGTTGACTGCATTTCAAATCTGACTACCAATCGTACAAATTGCTCTACAGACTGCCCAGAAGGACGAGAGTGCGACGTCAAAACCTTTTGTAAGTCATATAAAAGAAGTAGTTTTTGATGTATCTTTTGTCACTGACTAATCGTTTTCCTTGGTCAGTGAGAAACGCCTGCCTCAAGGACGTCGAATGCAAATGCCCGAAAAACTTGATGACTGGCAAGCTGTACTGCGGAGACCTGCTACAGGGCGCCAACTGTCACCCTAATGTAACCTTCTCCTGTCCCTACTTGTCCATGGTAAGAGCGTCATAGTTCCCTGAGGTCACTGTCTAAAGTAATTGAAATATTTGTTTGTTTTCAAATAGCTTTTCCTCCCAACTCCAAAGGACGCGTGCCTGTTTGGCTGCAAAGACGGCGCCTGTCTCCCGGCGACCGAAACCACACAATAGTATTTCGCATCACCTTGACAACCCCAAAGAATGCTCCATTGTTATCTAACAATAAAAACAAAACTAATTGAGGCATCCCGGATGTGCAGTTAGTTTATCAGCTCAGTCTAATCGAACACTTGAGGACCAAGGACTGAGGGCGCTGTCATCATTACAAGTACCAATTTTATTAAAGCTCCTTCTTTAATTGGTTAAACAGGTGTGGATAAACTTGAGATTTTAAAAGAAGATACACTCCACAAGTACGTCAGTTACATGTTATGTACATCAGTGGTGTAGATTAGCCAATCAGCTTCTTGATAAGCTCCTGGTAGGTACGCACGAATTGCACCAGCCAGTCAATCATCACCACGTGCATGTCCACGTCGCTTTTCTGCAGAATGTTCAAGTGTTTGCCCTCGGTGATTGCCTTCTCATTCTCCTCACTGTACACCGAGAGAAGCTGCGTTTTCAGTGTCAGCGAATCGGCTATCGTCTTGCTCAGCTCATTGAGAACACGCAGCTCGTTGAAAAGGTCGGTGCTGGTATTTCGGTGGTTGAGGATGGTGGTCATGAGGGCGTCCACGTCAGTCAGCTCATTGACGATTTTATCGAACTTTCCCTTGAGCAGCGCCGTGGCGATGTTGATGGCCTCGGAGACGTAGGTTGGCTTGAACTGCGACACGCCTGCCTCGTGGCCTAGAATCTCAAAGGCGATCTGATTGAGCGCTTCGCTGTAGCTGTCAGCCATGATTCGAGCGTACTCGAGGTACACCTTGTCCAGAACATGGTAGCTGATGAGTGTGGTCAGCACTGAGGACACCTCGGCTCGGGCCTTGTTCAGTGCTGCCTTCTCCGTCTTGATCTCCTCGATCAACCGGGTAAACTCGGCTTTGTCAAGTTTGACGGTGTTCACCTCAAAGTCCTGGTATATTTTGCCTACTTTGGTGTAAATCTGACCGATCTCAACTAGGTACTTGTCGCCAATGTGCGTCGGACTGCTGTTGCTGGCTGAAGGAGGTTAAAAATGTAAGCAATGTCAGGGCTACCAAAAAGAAGAAAAAGGGGAAGTTTATCTTACCAAAACCTAGAAAAACAAACAATTGTCAAATAAGCTCAAGATATTTTAAGATTTACCAAAACTTACCAGATGCAACAAATAGACTAAAAATAAAGAACACCTTCATGATGATTGAAATTGTGTGCGTTTCTTGCAAAGTCCAAAGTTTAATACTAAATCACCAACCTTAATAATCAACAAATAGCAACCTTTTTATTAGCTGTCAAACCCTCCAATCTAGCGTA